TATTAAGCCATCTGATTTTAAGCTATCACTCACCAATGCCTCTTTGTCTTGGGCTAGGTTGAAAATATAGGAAAATTGGTCTCCATTTGGTGTATGAATATGTTGTCCACATTTCATTTTCTAAGTTTATTTGTATTTCATTCATAAATCTATATAAGTTATTTAATAAAAGAACATAGTAAAAATAATGATCGAGTTAGAAAACTTTAAATGTTTTTTTATTGTTTCCAGAAAAATTCTTTTTGTTACATACTTTCATGAATGATGATATTTATGAAATTTAGAAAATGAAAAACACAAAATGTTTTTATGTACTAAATGGAGTCTTAGTTTCTCAATGGTCTATCACAGTAGCAACATGCCTCCTAGAAGCTCAAGGAGCGACCATACTGATCTTAAAGAGACAAGAAAGATCAACCTCTAGGCTTCACCTGACTAGTCCACCCTCATTAGGTAGAGCCATACTCTACCTACATGGTGTCCAACCCCTCCTGGACAGGTCATATTTGGCACTAATAACCTCCCTCTAGAGCCCCTTGATGTAGGAATTCCACGTGGTAGATGAATCTCCACAGCTATTTGGCTTTTAAGGACTTGTTTTATTCCTGAGGGATCTAATGGCGAGTGCCCCACTCGAGAGAGAGACCTCTTGACCATATCCCAAGTCCCTGGATGAGGATCTTCTTTGCAAACTAGAACCCATTCATAAGAATTGACCTTGAATAGCTTCAAAATGTTTAGCTACCTTAACAAGGAGACAAAAGAGAAATGAAATAGATTGGGAGGACAAGATGTTTTTAACGAAGGTTAACTTGCCATCCTTAGAAAGAAATCTCATCTTCCACCTTACTAGCTTCCTTTCTGTCTTGCAAATAATAGGATTTCAAACTTTGGTTCTTGATCTAGCAACAAGTGGCAGTCCAAGTTACGCCGAAGGCAAAGAACTATGCCTGCATGCTAGAATTTGAGCTCTCCTCCATTCCCAAGCCTTCACCAAAAGCCACTGAATTGATTTTTTAGGTTACTCCTTAGGCTTGATGTAGCCTCAAAACACACCAAGATATATTTAAAATTTAACAGCTAATCTTTATTTGGTCTATAAAACAAAGTAGAGGGATCAACAAACAGTAAATGGGTAACTTCCTTGCAAGAGGTTGCCTCAGCCAAGACTTAGACCTTGAGTGAAATTAATGGCTCTGGCATTTTGAATAATTTTTATGAAAGTCTCCTTGGCTAAGATGAAGATGGAGGGAGAGAGACTCACCCTTTCCTTGTTATTCTTACCCAAATGGCGAAGAAAAAAGAAGATTAAACACTCAAGAGAAGGGTACAATACTTATGTAATGCCAAAAAATGTCAAGCAATTCTTCTGGTGGTTTTACACTTGGCATTTTAGCTTCGTCTCTCCTCTTTTTTGAGATCTATTATTGTTCCAGCACCTTTTTCACTTTGTGGTCGAAAGATAATGAGAACTTTTGAGACATCCTCTGCATTGAGAGGCTTATGATTGAGAATGAATTCACAAGGAGAAAGGAGGAATTTGGAAATGAGATGAGGAACTTCAAGTGTTAAGGATGGAATCTGGTGGCTTGGTGAAGTTGACATGCAGTTTGCAAGGAAAGAGAAAATACAAAAATGAGCATCATTACTTAGTCAAGTGGTTTTTGGAACAATTTGAGGTTTCAAGATGAACCATTTAGTTAGTCTTTGTAAATGCTTGGAACTACATTGTGAAGAAGAGAAAGAGCATGATTATCATGCTCAATGGTGTGAACTTGTGGAAGCCATATGTAAGCAATTTACTTTGGTTTGGAGATCTTTAATCTTTAGAAGCTTATGTGTGGATAATAATGGTTCAAGGTTTTTGAAGCTGGGAATGGTAAGATAACTTAAAACTGTATTCTTCTTCTCCTTAAAAAAAAGATTAAAAAAACCTTGAATTGTGTTCTCTTTTCTCCTTATAGGACTAAGGATTAGGACCATAGAGTAGTCCCCATTTCGGCATGTAGTAAGATGGGGTTACTTGTTGGACCTTGGGAAATGCCCAGGCTGGCCCTATTTCCCTTCAGAAAACACTCCAAACTCTTCTGTTTCAGAAGTTATTTCAAAGTTGATAATAAAAATATTACTTTAGATTTAACAAAGATTTTGGTAAAAAGGATAGTTCTTGAGAAATACAATTTCTTGTCACGGTGGGTTTTTTTTTTTTGGAGAGAAATGCCAGATTTTTCAAAGACTCCATGTCTCATTTTTCCATCCTTTGGCATATGATGTCATTTTTGGCGTCCCTTTGAGTTAATGCACATCAATTTTCCCTATTCCTTATTTACTCTGCGCAGAGATTAGCCAACCATTATTTGTCAAACATTACCGGATTTCTCCTTTTCGGTTGGTTTGTTTTCTTTCTTTTGGGAGGATATGTAGTCTTTGCAGTTGTGTTTTCTTCTCTTTCTGGTAATACTTTTTCCATTAAAATCTTGTCATGGTCAACATAATATTCATGATATCTTTGATAACTTGTGCTGCCATTTATTCATAAAAGTTTTCACTGCCTCTTTTTACGAAGTATGATATGCTTGAAGTTAAGAATGATTATTACTTTTTCTCTAATGAAAAATTTGCAATAAATTTTCTTGTTTTTTTTTTTCATAGAACTGCTTTATGCTTTTATCTTTGTGTCAAATAGTTCATGTATCTTTAATGAAATCAATCGGCTTAATAGGTTTTATAAAATATCAATAGAGCTTTAAAATCACAGTTCTGGTTTTTTCTCTCTCATGGATCAATTTCTGTTGGTGTTAGTTTTTATGATAGTAATTTCTATTTTTTCACTGTAGAAACATTCTAAATGGGGCACATATAGTTGTTATTTGACATGTAAAAAAAAATCTGCTGTGCTAATTATTTCAGTTAAAAAGGTAATGAACTATCTGATGCAAAAATGAAAACAGAATGGACTTTATGATAATAACCATAATGATAATCAAACTTACCTTGATATTATTGGACTTGCTAACTAAACTTATTGGTAATTCTTTCAAGTTTGTAGGAAATACCTCTATCTATACCTTTTTTCGTAGACTAGAATGCTGCTCTTTTTATATCAATGTTTGTCTACCTTGTCAAATAGGAATTACCCGATTTTGTTATGTTCCTTGGTTAAGGATCGAATCATCGGGCGGTTAATATCCTTATTCTTATTACGAGAGCAATCTATTTTTGTGAAAGTAGATTATAGCTCATTAAAAGCGAGTTGTTACATTAGACCTCTTTTGAGAGAGATCCCACCTCATAGTTTTGAAATAAATTCTAACTTGTCTCTATTAATAACAATGATATCTGTACTTATAAATATTACAATTCTTATTTAGAAATTTTAATTTATTTAAGAATCTTAATATAATTATAAATACTCTACTAAAATATTGGAAATCCTATACAATTTAAGAATGTAATATCAATGGAAAATTATATACTATTTAAGAATATAATACTAATTAGGATTCATGTTTAATGTTTAGGAATCCAATACTAACGGAAAATATATACTATTTAGGAATCCAATATTAGTTGGAATTTCATGTTTAATTGAACTTCAACCTCTTGTTTAGCTGTTATCTTCCTTCCATATTCATGCCCTACAAATGCGTTCATAACATTACTCCCCTCCTAGTCTTCAAGCTTATTCTCAAGTTTAAAATGTGGATATGGCTGGCCTGTCAGTTTTTTCTTGTTATCTAGTGTCGCATTAAATCTCAAGACAAAACAACTATTTCTATTGGTAATCCAAAACAAACGGCTCATTGCAGTTATAAATCAGTCCTTTCGACTTTCTTTCTACCATCTTTGACCTTGTTAAGTTCTTTATAAATGGAGAGGAAATGTTACCAAATTGTGCCAAAACGTTGTTGCCATGTGGAGGCGGTGTTCCCTGAACTAAATTGTTAGGCTTGGTAATGGACTAAAAATGGTCACTATAATTTCATTTGGTCATGACCCACTATTATTGTTTCCTTTCAAAAGTTCTAACCTTGCCAATTGCATGCACTAGAGTGGTAGGTCATTGCATCTCGACCTTTAAACAGAGAGAATTGATGAGTCATGTTGTGAATAAATCAACTTACTGATCACGGCCAGTAGCCTCTGAAACTGTCGTTCTTTTTCCTTTTGAAATAGAAGTAAGAAAGTAAGTGACACCAAGGGGGTGCCCAATTTACAAAAAATGATACAAGTCAATAAGTACATCTACAATCGCTTCTAAGTCGGCTATAGAGTATAAGTTATGACCCAAAATATTAGAGACAATAATGAAATCATTTATCTTTGATATTTACAAGGGTTTCTTCAATATTCAAAAGTTTTATTGTTCATTTCCTTCCAAATAACCTAGAAAATGATTAAAGGAATGAGACAGGATGTTTGGTTATTAGAAGTAAAACTCTCCCACGCTAGAAGATCATTAATTACAGAATCGGCCATCACCCAGTGGACACCAGACAAGCTGTAAACTAGGGACCAAAGATGATATGTGTAAGGGCACCGAAGCAGGATGTGATTAGAACTTTCGGTGGTGCACTTGCAAAGGAAACATCTATTAACCAGAGAGTTCCCCCTTTTCATCAAGTTGTCATTGGTTAGGATGCGATTCTTGATTGCTTCCCAAGCAAAAAATGATATTCTCGAGGGGGCCTGTGACTTCTAGATGATTTTGTAGGGGAACAGAGGAGTGATAGTTATGTCATTTTTGGTCAAATAGCTGTAAAAGGAACTGATAGAGAACATTTCATTTTTCTTAAAGTTCCAACGGAGTTTATCATTGCAGTCCTTGAGGTGAATATCCGGCTTCAGATTCATGAAACTTTCAACTCAATCACCTATCAATCCTTAAGATTTATGCACAAATTAACAGAACACACACCTCTGCCATCCTCACCAAAAGGGTCCCTGACGGATTAGTCTGTTTTGAGCAATAGCATATATGAGAGGAAATCTCTCTCTTAGTTTAGAGTCCCTGATTCAAATATCATGCCAGAATTTGTTGTGGTCCCCTCTTCCAATCTGCCAGTGGGAGCAATCATACACAATCTTTAAGACATTCATGATACCCTTCCATAAATTGAGGCTGTGTGGTCTGTTGGCTACATAAAAACTTCTAAGTTTGTCTTTCCTCATCCATTTAATGTCTATGATTTTTTTCCAAAAACTATTAGTCGCCACCAAGTATCACAAAATCCATTTGGCATGTAGAGCTTTGTTTGTAGTGGTGATAGATTTTAGGCCCAAACCGCCTCGTCTAGTCGATTTCTTGACATCAACCCAGCGAATGAAATGGTATCTTCTCTTTTCATCAGTATCCCCCCAAAAAAATCTGTTCTGAATAGCTTCAAGTTTTTTGGCAATGTGAACCGGGATGGTGAAAACAATCAATTAGTACATAAGGAGGTTGGAGAGAGTGTTTTTGATGATTGTCAATCGACCCTCTTTAGATAAAAAAATGTCTTTTCTAGTTGGCAAGGTTTTAATCACACTAATAACCGGATCCTACCCAGCACTATCTTTGAACTTGGTACTGAGCGGAAAACCAAGGTATCTAATGGGTAAATTAACTTCCTTGCATCCCAGAACCATAGCCAACTGTTTCCCGTAGATTCCATTCCCAGTACACGTTAGTTCATATTCCTAATATTGATCTTAAGGCCAAAAACAACTTGGAAGCAAAGAATGATGCATCTCAAGTTAAGCGTGTAATCAACCCTTGGTTTATATAAAATTAAAGAGTCATCCGCAAAAAACAAGTGGGAAACCTCAATTTGGTTTGGGAACTTACCAATTTTCACCCCTTCAAATAGGTTCAGATCACAAGCCCTCTTCAAAAGTTTGTTACTAGCCTCCATAATAATGATGAAGAGGAGAGGGGAGAGGGGATTGCCCTTGCGGAGACCTGTAGTGGCATGGAAGGAGGGTCCTCCATTGACCAAAACCACAAAGCTGGTGGTGGTTATGCATGTTTTAGTTTATTTCCTCCACTTTGACCCAAAGCCATGCTTGAAAAGTAAGTAGTCAAAAACAAATTCCAATTGACATGGTCCAAGATCTTCTCCATGTCAAGCTTGCACAACACCCCATCTTTTTTATTTGCTATCAGATCATCAACTACCTCATTTACAATCGTGAGGGCATCGGTGATCTGTCTCCCTTTAACAAATGTGTGTTGGCAATCTTCAATGATGAGATGGAGCACTTTAGCCAATCTATTAGTGAGTACTTTAAAAATCAATTTGTATAAGCTGCTCACCAAACTTATGGGTCTAAAATTCTTGATATTCTTAGCACCAACCATCTTGGGAATGAGAACAAGGGAGGTCGAGTTGAGGGATTTGACAAAACACTTGGATTTGTGGAAATCATTAAAAAGATCCAGGATATCCTCTTTAAGGAGTGGCCAGAAGGTGTGAAAGAATTTAAAGTTAAAGCCATCCAGGCCTTGGGATTTATCTGCATTACATTCCCTTAAACAATTCTCAATTTCACCCTCGGTAAATAAGGCTTCCAGAATTTCTTTGCTGTGAGAGTCCAAGACCTCAAAAGGTAGATTGTCTAGCTTGGGGCGGGCGATGAATTCTTCCCTGTACAGATTATGATGGTAACCTTTAGCCACTTTATTCCCAGTAATGGTAATCTCATCAATGTGCAACTCTTCCACATAATTGGATCTTCTTCTATGATTGGCAAGGTAGTGAAAAAATTAGGTGTTCTTATCCCCCTCCTTAAGCCATTTCTCTCTAGATTTCTATTCCATGAAATTGCTTCCATGTGAAGCTTGTTGGCCAGTTCCATTTTCAATTAATTTCTCCTGGAATTCCCCACCTAATCGAGACCATCGAAACCCTTTAAATTGTCAAGAGTGCTAAGCTTGGCCATCATCCCGTCAATGCTCCCTTCCTCCTTAAAGACCAACTTCTTTGGTCCTTTTTTTTTATCTCAGCTTTTAGAATTTATAGATCTCTCTTCCTCCTTAAGTCTCTGAAATTGTTGCTGATACTTCTTAACTGAGCCTGTTTTCTTGAGGTGGACCAATTCGCCCGATGGGTTGTTTTGGAGGGGCGGTCCAGACTGTAGGGTGCAATACTCTATGAATGTTTCCCATGTCATGTCCGGTTCTTCTTATTATAGTTTATAGTATCAAAGTTGGGCTTCTCCTAGCATGTAAAAAACTGTTAGACTAACCTTGTCAGTGTGTTGCTGATTAGCAAAGAATTGCTCACATCGATTGAGTCATATCAAAGGATCTTATGTCTCGTCGTAGGTGGGAAAGTCCAGTTTAGCGTAGCGTGAGATAATTCCTGTGCTTCCCAACTCTGTATTTGTAGTGCGCGATTCCAATCAGTTGTCAGCGTGACCGGATTGGACTGTGTGGCTTTTGCCGACTTCTGTTCTGCCCTCTAAATCTCTGTTGTGCAATTGGATGAATCTGAAGAAGAGCCTCCATCTGTTGAGATAGTTGTTGCTGCTTAGCATCTATCAAGCCTCTGATTCAGCTTACTAGATTTTTTAGTTCCTTGCGCAATCCTTACTTGCCCATAGTGTCTTGATTTAATACCAAATTGTTATGTTCCCTGCTTAAGGATCGAGTTATTAGGCAGTTAACAACAAAATTGTCTTCAAGCAAGGGGTTACTACCCTTGCTCTTATTATGAAGGTAATCTATTTTGTGGAAATAGATTACAACTCATTAAAAGGGAGTTGCTACCTTAGATCTCTTTTGAGAGACATCTCACCTCGTAGTTTTGAAATAAATTCTGACTTGTTTTTATTAATAACAAGTATACTCTTTTATATAGAAGTTATAATTTTTATTTAATAATTTTAATTTAATTAAGAATCTAAGTTTAATTAGTAATAATTTATTAAAATATTGAAAATTTTATACTATTTTGGAATTCAATATTAATAAAAAATTATATGCTATTTAGAAATCTAATATTAATGGAAAATCATATACTATTTGGGAATATGATATTAATTTGAATTCCGTGTTTAATTGAACTTCAACCTTCTATTTAGCCACTGTCTTGCCTTCCATATTCATGCCCTACAAATGCGTCTATACAGGTTTCACAATGCTATGTTTATGGAAAATTTCTTATTTTTTGTTACATTTCAAGCCATTGCCATTATTGTTGTTGTCAGTAGCACAGTCTCAAGCTGTTATCTTTAACATATCAACAACCCAGTTTAGTATAGGTGCCTATTATCGTTAGTGGTTTTGTTGTCGCAGTCTAGTAATCAATTATTTGTTGAATTTCAGCTACTTATATGATATTTATTTGATATCTCATGCTTAAATATCTAGTGTAAATTTGTTGCATATTTATTCCCAGTTATAGAAAAATGCCAGAACGTGAACATTTTTCTATCTATATGAATGGATCAGATATTGCAAGCGCATAGCGATGAAGTTTGGTTTTTGCAATTCTCCCATAATGGAAAATATCTGGCATCTTCGTCAAAGGATCAATCTGCCATTATATGGGAGGTAAATTTTTCTTAGCCATTTTTGTTTAAAATTTTTAGCCTTGCCTTACCATGTCTGTTCACCTCTGTTAAACGTTAAATGCCAAAAAGATTTAATGATGTTCTATAAAATCCTTTAATGTTCTCTGATATCTTTTTATGTATTGAAGCTAGATAATTAAATGAAATGGTCCTTTGGTAGCTAAATTGATTTAGAAGATCCTTTAAGTTACGTAGTAATAGATACTTGAACAAACTTTATATTGTGGAATCGTATTTGAGTATTTGACAATGGATTTTTTTACCTTGCCATAAAAGATAATGCTTCTTTAGCAACCTTACATTTGTCTAATCAAATCCAATTGACTTCTCATATGTTCTTGTGAAGGATCCTCCCTTCACTAATGAGGAAATCCTGGTGGAATTCGTGTGAAATTGAACATAATTTTATAATGAAACAGCTTTTGGTAAGAGATAAAAAAACATGATGAACATGGTTCGATTGAATAGTTAACCAAGTTCCTTTTTTTTTGGAAGAAAACATCAACTTCAATTGTTCAGCAATTGATTGTGTTTCACCTTCAGTTTAGGAAAGACAATTAAATCAATTCCTAGCATTGCGAATAGGATCAACTAAATCATAAACACAAAGAAACTCAAGACATATATGGGGACTGTTTAGTGGCATTAGACTAAAAAGTTTTTACTTTCTGTATTTATTTTCTTACAAGGTATTTTTAGTGTTGAGGTTCCTAAGCAATGGTTTTTAGCTCATGTTATTCTCTCTCTAAAATTCTCTCTACTCTCTGAATTTTCTTTCTCAAAGCAATAACTTTTTCCCTATTATTTCCTTTTCTATCCTATTTACACTTAGTCAACATAACTGCGTGGATTCTTTCGCCATGGTCGACCGGTCCTCTTAGTCCGGGGTGAAAATTAGCCCTAGTGAGATCTAGTGTTTGTCATTTAGTTCGTTAAGGGGTTGGTTTTCGCTAGCTAGAATGGTTGTTGGAAAATGTAGGTTTTTGAAGATAGGAGGCAAGTCGTTTGATGTGGTGGCAGAAGGGCAGGGTTTAAGGATTTTCGAGAATGGTAGGGGCTTTCAAAAATCAATCTTCTATAGCAAAGACGAGGTAGAGTGGGGCTGAGGGAATGCTTTAGACAATTCCATTGGGAGAAAGGGGGAGAATCATGAAGCAGGAATCGAGGCAGTAAAGATCACATCATGTGGAGGGCGTTGAGCGGAAATGGAAAAGGTATTTTCATTGTTCTTTCTCGTATGATGAGGAGACAAAAGGGCAAATGTACCCGTATTTTCATCCTGGAGGGTGAAATAGGAAATGGATGGTGGCAGATGATGGGGGCAATATACAAGGTAAACGATGTCGAACTAGTAGCACCGAACTGAGTGAAAAAGAAGGATAAAAAGATCATTCCACCCAACTTCCCAGCCATTATTGCTAGTCAAAACGCTTTGTTTATTGAAAACAGATGCCCATGTTGTAACACGGAGTTGGTGGTTTGTCTGGGTAGAAAGAAAAGTGAGTCTTTCATGAAAATCCTTCAAACTGATCCCCAAACCCTAAACCGGGTGAAGACAAAAACACCCAAACCGGCTCCTCAACCCAGCCATTTCAAATTTCAAAGTGCCCAATTGCTCCAAATCAAGGCGGGAGAGACCCAAAACAATCTGGGCAGAAATGACACTCTTTCAAGTCATTCTACACTAAAAGGAAAGCCAAGTGTGGGCTCTTTGTTGAGGGAAAGGAAAATCGCAAATATTGGGCCAAAGTCAGGTTGCAAGTTCACTTGGGCTGAAAGGGGTAAATGGGCGATTGATGCGGATTAGGCTGGCCCATCCAACAGGCCCTATTTAAATGGTTGACTGAGACGGGTTGTAGCCAATCCATTCAAGCTGGTGGAATAGTTAAAAGGAAAAATGGAAGAATTCACAAGGTTCGTGCCCAAAAAGAGAAAATCCTGGCTGAGAAAGAACCTTTGGGAAATCTACAGCATCCAGGCGGAGAGAAAGATTTGTTGGAAACGATTATTAGTTCGGCCAGTCGACGAAGAAGCAAACTTGACAATTGCTTGTTCGAGCGAGTTGGAGATGATGGGTTTCGTGAGAAGGGAAGAAGTGTATGAGGAAGAAATTCCGTCTAACTTGATGATAAGTGATGTAGCTCGTGAATTGGGGGGAAGTAATGATTATTGCTATTCGAGCTCTTTCTTCTTCGAAGATGAACAACTTCATCAGATGCAGTTAGTTGATGTCCTGACAGAGAGGCCTTACATGAACAGTGAAAGGGACAGAGAGAATAATCTTCTCCAAGTGACTCTTGAAGTTAGAGAGGCCTCCAACACAAGGGAAAAGAAGTTTGCTGCTGATGTGATGCTTTCGGATGATAGTTCTACTTGGGTTCTTGAGAATGTCCAGAGATTAAATGTAATAGTTGGTGTGGTTTTAAGGGTCTTGAAAATAGAGCTATGGAGCTTTTCAGAGATATTGAGAGAAGTTGTATAGAAAAAGAAAGAACTAAGGCAGGGAAAAACAAGGGGAAGGAGAAAATGGGAAGTGCAGTCTCAAGGGAACTACAGAGACTTATTTCCACTATAAATTATGATGGAGTTAGGAAGGAGAAGGGGAGAGAAGGGGAAGGGGAAGGGGAAGCTGAAGATTTAAATTTTTAGAAGAATCATTTCTTGAAATGTGCGGGATATCAATGACAATAACAAAAGGCAAATTATCAAGAGCGGTCTGAACAGATGGAAACCAGAGGTAGCATGTCTTGAGGAGACAAAAATGGAAGTTGCTGACAGCAAGACAGTAAGAAGTTTATGGAACAGAAAGGAGGTGGGCTGGTGTGTCTCCCCATCCATCGGCGCCTCGGGGGGTATCGTCATCATGTGGGATGATGGATGAAAATGAAATGTGTTGATTGCACCCTCGGATCCTGTACATTATTGTGTACTTTCAGAGATACCAGAAATGAGATGGAGTGGCTGTTCATTGGTGTCTACAATCATGGGGAAGGGAGGGAGCGTGCTCTTCTGTGGAGGGATCTCGAGGAGTGCAAATCCATATGGAAGGGCCCTTGGGTGATTGGAGGTGACTTAAACATGGTCCTGAACAGCATGGTACGTACTGGTGATCACTTCAACAGAAAATGTGCTGAGGAATTTAAAGATCCTAGAGAAGCTCGAGCTGATTAACTTTCCTTTGGTCGGGGGTAGATGGACTTGGACCAACCAATGCCTATGTCCTGTGAGTTCCAGAATTGACAGGTTTTTGGTTTCTGTTGATGTACATTATAATTTTCCTAACCTTTGTCAAAAAAGATTAAGCAGGATTACCTCCGACCACTTTCCCATATGTCTGGAGGCAGATGACATTCTTTGGGGTTCTTGCCCCTTCTGGTTCGACGATTCAAAGAGATGGTTAAGGTGTGGTGGGGAAGCGTATGCCCTGCAGATACACCCAGCTTTATTATTGTGAATAAATTCAAGCATTTGACAAAAGAAAATAAGAAGTGGTGTAGAAAAGAGGATATGAAGTCTAAGCTTCAAATGAGTGCCATGATGAAGGAAATGAGCAGCCTGGATAAAAAGGAGGAGAGTGCTCTGTTGGCTGAGGAGTGGTTACACAGGGAGACACTAAAAGAAAAAATTAGTCTCTTTCTACAAATGGAAGAGGCTAGCTGGAGACAAAAATTAAGGAAAAATTGGGTCAAGGTAGGGGATAGAAATACGAGATATTTTCACTGCCTTGCAAGTCAGCATAGAAGAAGCAATTTTATTGGCTCGCTTAGGTTCGGGGAAGAGGAGATTGAAGGTAACCAGAATTTGAGGGATAAAGCGACTGAGTACTTTCCCGCATTATTCACAGAAAACTTGGAGTGGAGACCTAATCTTGATGGCTTGTCCTTTAATTGTCTGGATGTTGAAAGCAGTCAGGACTTGGAAAAATTGTTTACTGAGGAAGAAGTCCTTGAAGGGCTAAAAGATTGTAACAGAGAAAAGGCGCCTGGGCCGAACAGTTTCCCCATGGGTTTCTTGCTGGAGTTCTGGCCCGTGATTAAATCGGACATGATGAAACTGTTTGAAGATTTTCATAGGACTGGAAAATTTGTAAAGTCTATTAATTCTACATTCATTGTCCTTGTTCCAAAAGTGAGTGGAGCCCCTACAATCAAGGACTTTAGACCTATTAGTTTGGTTGGTATTGTGTATAAATTGATTGATAAAGTTATGGCTTTAGAATGGTTAGGGATCTGGACATCATCACTGGCGGATCTCTAC